CTTTAAAAAAGAAATCAATGTTAAAATCTTATACCTTTGAACATTTTGAAGGCTTGTTAGCAGGTTTTCTTGACATTTTGACTTTTCTTTTCTATTTATTAAGGTCATCAACCCAACTTTTGTTGATCTTTTTTCTTTCTCTCTTTTTAAAGCCAATGCCTTCACCATCATTCTTGTCATCATTATTATCAACACCACATTCACTATCAACAGCATCTGATGACTATTTGATAAGAAGTTCGTACACTTTCTTACTAAATTTTTCCACTACTTGTTGAACCATAAAGAAAGTCTTTAGACATTCAGATGCATCACTAGCTAGTTTTATAAGCATTGGACACAATTGCATGTATCGATTTGAGCATTCTAGCTTAGGATTAACATCAATCTCCATTCCCTTGTTATCATATACCACACCACACCTTGCTTCTCTTGTCCACCTCTTTAAAATATATTTATGTGGAAGCAACTTGACATCATGATCGTACAATATCCTCAAGGCATGACAACATAATATTCCCCATTGTTCAAACTTCTTACAACTACAAGTAATTGTAGCCTCATTTTCTTATCTTGATGGCTCAAATGTCAATCTCCACTCTCCTTTCTTATCAACCCTGGTGATAACATAATCAAATACAATAGCATCATCATATTCATTCATCTTTCTTACTTTTCTCTCTTTTATACATCTAGCATCATGTAAATCATATTTCTATTGAAACAAGTTAAAAATTGGTGGAGTATAAACTTGAGAAAGTTGTTGAAGCATAGCTGAACTTTTCAAAATCAATCTCCGTAGCTTTTATCGTGAATTAAAATCACTCATCAACTCATTATACCATTTATCCACAACAACTTGTTCAAAGACTTTAAAGAATTTATTGATAGCCAATTTAGGATTTGTGCTTTTTTTTTTTATAAATGCATTGATACTTTCACTGAGTTGTGTGCTTCTCATATCAAGTGTCTTTGATTCCTTCATATAACATGCTGCCCATTTTTCTTTTAACTCGTAAATAGACATTAACCATGGATTATCTCCTACATTGTGTTTTGATAATAATGCTTTCCAAGATTCCTCAAACAGTGTTTCTTTTTCACAATGATACATGCACCAATTAAACTTACCCAAAAAATGAGAATTATCTTTCATTAGGTTCCCAAGATGTTTCACCGCATTTCTGTTGATATGGAATGTGCACAAGCCATGCTTTACATTTGGCATTACTTATTTTAAGGCTCATGTCATTGTAGCATCTTGGTTAGTAAACACAATAAATTGCATTTTTTTCTTATGTGCTTCCAAGAACATGTCAAAAAGCTATTCAAAAGACTCAATAGTCGATCTCATCATACAATAAAGCAGCACTAAATATTACTACTTCTCTATAATGATTGAAACCTGAGAAAACAACAAGTGGTCTATTGTCACGATTTGTAGAATATGTTGTATCAAATGAAATGATATCTCCAAAACAAACATAATCTATCAGCATACGTGCATCAGCCCAAAACACATTAGTTATTCAGTCTTCTGAATCCACTTGATAAGCATGAAAAAATGAAGGATTTTCTGCCAATTGTCGTTGAAAGTAACGAAGTAGACACCTAGCTTCACTATAAACAATTTTTCATTGCCTCCTTGATGCTAGGTAACTCTTAACATCATCTTGGGTGAACCTCAAAGTAGCTCTCCCTCCTGCATATTTACTCATTAAATTATAAGAGGCTTTTTGCTTAATATCAACATCTTCTGCAACTTCTAGAGCATAGCCTTGTGCTTTCGGTAATCTCCTTTGTGATGCCAGCATATGAATAGTTTCCTAAGTCTCCAAAAGATGATTATGCTCCAAAAAAAGTTCTGTAACTCTATATCTTCCATTCACTTTTTTTACTATCATTCTAAATTCACATCTTGTTCTTGTTTCTTGTTGAGGGTTCTTGGTTTTAAAATCTCTTTTATCTGGTTTTCTCACTCCCTCCTTGTTACAAACATATTTGTAATATATGATAGAACCATCTTTCCTACTCCTATTGGAGTTTTCTTTTCTAACACCGAATCCAATCCTTCTACCATAGCAAACCCAATATTGTCATGCCTCTTCTATATTATCAAATTCAAGATCAAGGATGGGAGTCATATTTGTATCCATTGCTTAAAGATAGAAGAGAAATTGAAAAAAGAGATGCCTAAAAAGAACAACAACAACAGAGTAAATAACTGAAATAAATAATAAAACACTATAAATTTCATACATTTTATAACAAATAAAAATAATCATTTCAAAAAAATGACGACAAACCATATATATATATATATATAAATGAGGAATTCACACAGTGACTCAAATGGAGTTTTTTATTAACCAAGATACAAATTAATCGAACAAATACATATGGCCACCAGAATAACATGACAATACATATAAAATTCAACAAAAATTACAAAAGAAAAAGAAAAGGGATATATACGTGTGTGTGTGTGTGAGAGAGAGAGCATATGTAGAGACTAAAAGACAAAAAAAAAACAATAAAACAATAAAGGAGGTAACCAGAAAATCTTAGTGATGAAAGCCTGCAAATGCTCCTCCTTCCTCAACAATCTCTTCCCACACTGAGCCTGCTGCATAGTGTTTTCTGGAACCAAAAAGATGGATGAATTTCCCGTGCTGGAGTAGGACGCTGAGAGACTGAGTTTCGAAATAAACAAATGAGTAACATGGTTTTTAAAAGAACGACGTCGTTTCTTTTTAGTGGATGCAAAATGGAGAGAAGCTGTAGTGGAGACATTCCGAGCCCACTTTCTAACATGAAATTCTTCGAAATGAGCAAAGGCTCTCTCACTTAGGACTTTGTGAAGAGTCTCAGGAAGAAGGAAATGTTCGTTACATTATTGCTGGGAAATTCAGTTACACAAGACAAACAAATGTGGGGCATACGTTAAGTTGCTGTGAAATTCAACTGCATAAGACAACACATATAGGGTCAAACATGTTGGACTCACAGGCAATATTTTCTTGATCGGTCTACATCTGGTCTATTCGATCAAGAAAATTGATTAGTAGCTTTATTATTTGATTCGGTTAGCTTAAGAAGGCAATCATGTTTAAGTATCCATCAAAACATAATCAATTTGATTAAACATTGATTGAAAAAAGTGAAACGAGGTATGATTGCTTTTTTTAATTAATATAGTCTTTTGTCTTTCAAATTTGTCCTAATTTTGGTTTTGATTCCTTAAATTTCAAATGATAGGTTTTGGTCTCTCAATAGGCAAAATGGTCTAAATTTTCATTAAATTATAGGGACTGATATTTTAGATAAAAAGAAATTTTAGAGACCAAAACTAAAATTAGGATAAACTAGATGGACCCAAAATTGTATTAACCCTTTTTTGTTTTAACTCGGTAGTGTTTCTGGTTCCATAGGCTTTTCCAATGTGTAAGTATATGGATCTAATTTAACTTTATTAAAATCATGTAAATCTGACAGACTGTGACTAATGCGATGAAGCTTATGAAATCATTCACACCTATCATGTCATTGAATATACCATACTTTAATTTCATGTTCAACTCCACATGTTGCTCAAGTTCTTACTTTAGGTAGGAAGTAAAAATGAGATTGCCGGATTCCTTTTTTCTTTCTTTCTTGGATTTGGAACGTTTCGAGTTGGAAAATCACAAATATTTTTGAAGCATAAGAGAGATTCAAACAAATGTGTTATTTATATCAATTTCTCTGACATTTTAAGAGCATTTTAATCTCACAATGTTTTTTTTTTTGTCAAATCAGAGATCAAATAAACCGTGTTGAAAGATCTCCCTTAAAATTGAGGCCTAATTTAACTTGAAAACGAATTAGTCAGTAGTTCCGCATATTAGGTAATTTGTCTGGGGGAAAAAACGACCTTGATGAATGCTACGAATTAACACGTCTTCGGACCAGCTTATAAATGAAGTATTATTAACAGTAGTTATATAATATTTCCAATGTACAAAAAAATAGTAGTTATATAGATTCGATTTAAAAAAAATAAAAATAAAAATATCTTATTTTTAACCATTAAAAAATAACTTTCAAATTATATATAGTGTGAAAGAAGAATAGAAATATTCTAACAAAACCAAAAAAAAAAAAACAAGAAGAACAATAGAAGCAAGGGATAACGAGGATTGTGGAGTGAAGAGGAATATAGTTAGGGAAATAAAAAGTAAATTAAAAAAAAAAGCAGCTTTGTACCGTCAAGGATTGACCTACAATTTATTAATTAAAATAATAATTTAGAGATGGTGGGAAAAAATTTAATTTCTCCATAAAATGATTAATTAATTGAAATTTTATACTATAGTGGGTTATGCCACCTTAACGGATGATTCTTGAGTTGAAAAAGTAACACCCCATTAGACTATTTAAACCCACTTTGTGCATATCTTTTTCTTTTATGAATTTTTTATATCAAACCATAACAGCAATATAATTTTCTAATTAAAATATGACAAGTGTATCTTTGGATAGATGCTGTGAATCGATCGCAAGCAAATGTATAAACAGCATTGTCGGCATCATTGCTACTAGCTGTAAAGAGTGTGATTATTTTGCTAATACCCCAAAATATAAGCGCCTTAATTACTCCTAAAACGCATTCTGACTTCTGAGCAAAGGTGCTGACACATGTAAAATATGACAAGTGTATCTTTGGATTGATTTACTAAAGCATTCTTCCCATCCAAAATTTCTAATTAAGCATCCTTATCCTTAATAATTTGTTTAAGAAAATTCAATCAATAATTCGATTAATAATGAGGAGCTAGCAATACTAAATGAAAAAAAATCAATCTTTTGACATTTTGTTTTATCAAAAAAACAATTTATTAAAAGATAAAAAATACAGATAAAAAGATTGGTTACAAGAAAATTAATTAAGTGTAAACAGAACCTGTTTAGAGTAGCTTATAAGTAGTTTTTTAATCATGTTTTACAGAATATAAGATAAATATATTGGAGGTATTTTATTTCAACTTATATAAAATGTGGTTATAAGTGTTTTCATACGCTTTAACAGATGGTCCACAAGTAGATAGAACCCAACCCCCACTATTACTTGAAAGCCTGTCTTTTAACATCAAACAGACCCAAATGCCGAAACACTTTGTAGAGACACAGAATTCACAAACTCGTCATCAGATTCCAGCGCCGTCATCGTAGCCGGCGAAAGACATATCTCCAAATCTATTCTTCCCCCTCCTTCACGACCCGGATATGACATCACTTTCCCATCAAACATGTTGGCATAACCACTTCGAACACCCACCGCTTTCCCCATTCCGAATTCGTTACCATACATGTCGAATCTGGGTGAGCTACTGATCATCACGCCGTACGGGTCAAAGAACCGATCCGGTTGAAACACCGTCGGACTCTCCAACCACTTCTTCATAAGCTCACGCACCGCTTTGTCGTTGTGGTTCGCGACAGCCACGTGTATCTTCCACGCCGCCCATCCAAGGTCGTGCTCTAGCAACTCCCCTAACGTCGTTTCCGCAGCCACCGTGCTAACAGAGTTCCCGAAATACTCTTCTGGCAAAGGCGGTTCCATTCTTGATCTGTTATCTGCCGCCACACTGCAGATTGTTCTCTGATCACGGGAGGGACTCCGCGCGCGTGTTATGCACCTCCAGACGAGTGCTGATAATGATTGGAAGGACGATATTTCAGTGGTGTTGGACTCTTGGTTGGCCTTTGCTTTCAGTTTCGCAATAGACTCGGCCGTGAAATGGAATATTCTTTCCCTAAGAGGGGGTGCTTCGAATCTGCTTATGAACTCCTCGTGATGTTTGAAGGGGAGATTGATTGGGGGAACACAACCCGCCGGGAACCACCGATTGTGAATCGGTGGGTGTGAGATGGGAATGCAAACATCGTCGCTGCCATAGTTATCACCTTGTGCTCGAAAGATTTCAGACCACGCGCTGAAGAATCTCCAAAAGGAATTGCCGTCGGCGAGGCAATGGTTCATGGAACAGCCAATGAAAACGCCGTCTGTCAATTCAGTGACCTGAACGGACAACAAAGGTAAGCTGTGGCCGTCGTGGTTGACCGCCCTGTCATGGTCAAAGAACGATTGAACTACAGCGGGGACATCGATGGGGGAGAGGATATCGGAGACGGTCATGTCTAATTTGGCGTAGATGAATCTAGCTCCCTCGCTGTTGTCGCAATCGACAAAGACGGAGTAGGAAGGGGGACGAGCCGTGACCAGGCGACCGGTGAGGGGATAAAAATGGAGGAGGGTGAGAGAAAGAGAGTGCTTGAGGCGGCCGAGAAGAGAATCGATGGAAAAGGGAGGATTGTGAGGAGGAGAAGGCTTGAGGAAGAGGAGGCCTTTCTGAATGTATTGAATAGACAGCATAAGAACATCCCACGGAGAGAGATGGCAGATGGGCTTAGAGTCATTGGGCGGAAGGTGGGGTTTGATGAACCATTGGGAGATATGCTCGACGGTAGGGTGGGAACTCATCTTCACTCACAGTTCAGAGATGACTTTGGATCAAAGTATGATATGTTGGGTCACTCTTCTTTTTGTTTATTACATATATAGTGTAAGAAGCAAAACGAAGTCCCCACAGCGTCCCAGCTCTCCTTTTCCTTTGCCCTCCTGATGAGTAATTACAATGTGGAATTCACACATAAAGACGAAGTCAGATTATGGGCCTGTTTTGATTATTTTAAAATTTGCACATAATAATCATATTAATTATTTATGGTTTATAAAAAAGCTTGATTTAGAGTTCATATTGTGTACAGATTTAAAAAATATGTCCGTGAAAAATGACTTTGAAATATTTATAAAACCTAAAAGTGATGATTTTAAAAATTAAAATCACATCCAATTTCATGTAACTACTTTATTGTTTGTGCTAGAAATATATAGGCTGACCGTGTTTTGTCTACGATGCCCCTTGGCTAATAAAGAGGAAGTATAAGCCAATGTATTTTTATTATAGTTAGCACATAAAGTAATGGCTTTGTTGGGAAAGGAAGCCAAAAAAAAAAAATTCCATATTTACAAAATGGGCATATTTACTAAATATGCCCATTTTGTATCAAAGGGGCTATTGGATTCTTTTAGTGAATTAACTATGGTATCCTCGCCATTTTGAACTTGAGACTAATCTCTTTGAATTAGCACATTACAAGATTTGGATATTAGGTCCTGAGTAAATAACACCAACTCTGCCTTAAAGCCAACAAAGACTGAACAATGTTTTTATAATTTAATGTAAAATATAATATCAATCTCCTTTATTTCCCTAATTTATATTTTTAAAAGTTGTTCCTAATCATTGCGCATACTAGAATTTTTAAGCATTTTCTAATATAAATTATTAAAAGTTGTTCCTAATCATTACACATTTTTCAAATAATTTTTATTCTTACAAATTAATTACCTCATTACATTGGAAACAATAGGGATTGAAAGTTAACTAAAAATATTTTTCTCCCTAAACTAAACTTGGACGCAACAAATTAAATGCGTTTGCCACTACATACATCTGTTCTACACTGACATGCGATATTTTCTGATCCCATGAGTTTGCTGTTGTAGAACTACCCACTAGCTAGACAAGAAACTGGCACCTTATCCAGTCCATGCAACGGAATTTAGTAATACTGCTCTTTACTTAGAAGACTTTAAAGTTTACCACCGAAGCTTCCAAGAATGTTTAGTCAAGTTTCCAGGCATGTTGCTTTGGGGATAAATAGAGTTCGACAATTGTGGGGACATACAAGTAATAAGATGTGATATAAGAGCTAGCTAACTAATTTGTAGATAAAAAAAATTAATTAAGTTAGTTATTTGAAATAAATAGGTGCTGTCTTCTCTAAAATACTCTTACTAATCAAGTGTGCTAGTTAGAACTATTGTTTGATGAAACCTTTAACGTGTGCAACTATTTCAAGGATTATCTTGGCGAAAATGAATAAATATGATAGACAAAGTAGATTGGAGTCTTATATTTAAGATCAAATTAAAAGTTAAACTAGTTTGAATATTAAGGATAGAAGGTACTCCCCTGGTCCTTAATATAAGACCTATTTAACTAATTTGATTAGATTAAAGAAGTTAGGTAAGTTAGTTAACTATGATAAATATGACATGTTTTTCCTAAAATACCTTAATCATCTTCATTATATCCTCCCTCCCTCTCATACTTGATTATTGTCAATAGAATATTAATAGGGACAATTTAGAAAAAATTAATAGATATAAAAAATAGGTCTTATATTAAGAACCAAAGGAGTATTACATAATTTGCAAAATCCAATGGGAGTACTTCCTAACATGAAATTCCTCGAAATGAGCGAAGGCTCTCTCACTGAGGATTCTGTGAAGAGTCTCAGCAGGAAGGAAACGTCCGTGAAATTGCTGGGAAATTCAGTTACGCAAGACAAACAAATGTGGGGCATACGTTAAGTTGCTGTGAAATTCAACTGCCCAAGACAACAAATATAGGGTCAAACATGTTGTACTCACATGCAATATGTTCAAGATCATTCTACATCTGGTCTGCTCGATCAAGAAAATTGATTCGTAACTTTATTATTCGATTCGATTGGCTTAAGAAAGAAATCATCTTTTAAGTATCCATCAAAACATAATCAATTTGATTAAAAATTGATTGAACAAAGTGAAACCACACATGATTGTTTTTTCCTCTAATTAATATAATTTTTTGTCATTCAAATTTGTCCTAATTTTGGTTTTGATCTCTTGAATTTCAAAATATAGGTTTCGGTTCCTTAATGGGCAAAATTGTCTAAGTTTTTATTGAGTTATAAGGACCAATATTTTAAATAAAAAAATTGAGGGATCAAAACCAAAATTAAGAGAAACTTGAGTAATCCAAAATTATATTAATCCTTTTTTTAAATTCGGTAATGTTTCTCTTTCCGTAAGCTTTTCCAATTTGTCAGTATATGGATCTAATTTAACTTCATTAAACTCATGTAAATCTGACAGATTGTGACTAACGTGATGAAGCTTATGAAATCATTCACACATCGTATTTATAAAATCATTAACAGAAGAAGGTTGGTGGTCAAAATGTCAAAGGTGAGGGTATGAAATTTAAACTTTAGAAGTTCAGGATAGTTATATGCAATTGACTCAAAATTCACGAGTTATGCCTATCTTAGTCTTTAAAATTTTAGACAAAAGATTTGTTTCTTATATTTAGGGATATTACTATAAGAGATAATGTTTTTTATAAAAGGTGAGGGAAGGAGTATTAATTTCTACTATCGTTATTAAATATAAACGGTTATGGGAAAAATATTGATGCTCATTGAAATTATAAAACCTCCTTATAAAATGGACCAAAAATTTGTTCTGGAGGACATCTTATAATATGGACAAGAGGGAGAACATCTAAAGAAATCTGATTGGGAATAACTTAAAAAAAATAAAAAGAAGTTAAAAAGTTCGGAAGACAACGTAAATGGTGCAGAAATACTGAACAGAGCAGTTAACTTCCTTTACTGCATAACAAGCATATATAAAAGAAATCTTTTATATTTGAACAGATAGCATCAGCAAACTTGGCACTCAGAGATTGCAAAAATGTAAGTTTAAATCTGGGATTTAATTTTCTCAATGCCATTTGACCCAAAATGGGAGAAAGGCTAGTCTAAACTTTAATTAGTATAGAAGAACAATCAGCTCAACATGCAACAAAAGACCAACTTTTTAAGTGTTTCATGTACTGACAAATTGCACGAGCCTATCAAACCAGAAACTTACGGAATTAAAGCGAGAAACTCATGCATCGATTCACTTTGTTCAATCAATTTTTAATCAAATTGATATTATGCTTTGATGGATATATATACACTTCAACATAATTGCTTTTTTAAGCTACCCGAATCAAATAATAAAGCTATTAATCAATTTTCTTTATCGAATAAAACAGTTGTGTAGATCGATTTTGGAAAATAATGCACGTTACTGTAAAATTTATGAACCCATGTTTATTGTCTTGCGTGGTTGAATTTCCCAGCAACGTAACGGATGTTTCCTCTTGAGAGCAAAATGAACAAAGTGCCGAATTGACTCACCGTCGAGGTGATAGTGTCATTCAAGTTTGGAAGTAATGCATATGACTTGTACGCCTACACATTTGTTGTCTTGTGTAACTGGATTTCCCAGCAGCTTAATGGACATTAATTACCTTCCTCCTTTCGCTCATTTCGAGGAATTTTATGTTAGAATTTGCCTCCACATTCCATCATATTACCTCTAGTCCATATAAGAGTTAGTTTAACTTTCAATTTGATTCTAAATACAAGACCCAAGCTAGTCCTTGTAGTAGTTATACATATTAAATATTTTATCAAATAGTAATTTTAGCTAATACACATAATTAACAAGTGTAGTTTAGGGAAGACAATACCTATTTATGACAAATAACTAACTTAGCTAATTTTTTTAATCTCTTCAAATTAGTCAATTGTTATGAGTCCATCCACCACGGACGACCCAAGCCCAATAGAAGAAGGAAGACCAATGAGACGTAGTGCGAGGGTGAAAAGGAAAAACGTGGAAATTGAGGGAAATCGAGGAAACAGAGGCAATATAATAAGACAAATTTGGTTAGATGAGAGTGTGGAATATCTTCAGGATTGCTCTCTCTATTGATTCACTTTCTCTCTCATCCTTTCTCTCTCTTGTCTGGAGTTTTTCTTACTGTTTCATTGCTGAGTATCGTTCTCCATTTGCTATTGTAACTTTGTGATTTTTACCAGATTTATCAGTTGAATATACAGAGTACATTCCATCATACCATTTGTTAGTTTGTGCATTGCATTTGACGTTTTCATAGATTATTTACATACCATTTGGTGCTTTCGTTAAGAGAATGGCAGAGAATACGAGAATGAAACAGATACAAGCCAAACAGAATAAAGCTAGCGAGTTCATGTAAGAAGCTAAGGGGAAGTTTATGAGAAGGGAAAGTTTGTTCGAGATAGCATTACAATCTTTGGATGAGCTGAAACAAGAAAACAATCAGGTTGGGTCAAGTTCGATATCGATGCACAAACCTTCAGCAACTCATGAACCCTCTACAAACCCTTCGGTTCACACCTTTACAACGATCATCGGTAAGCAAATGAAGCTAGATTTTCCTCGGTTCGATGGGAAGGAGCAATTTTTCAAATATTATGAGATCCAGGAATCACAGTGATTAATCATAGCCGCGCAATACATTTCGATGGAGAAGTTCTACCTTGGTTTTCAAATGCTAGAAAGGTCACATCGGGTGCCTACTTGGAATGATCTGGTGCAAGCTATTGAAGAGCAATTCGGACCATCGCAATTCAACAGTGCACTGGGTCAATTATTCAAACCGACACAGCAGGGTCTGTTAGAAGATTATAATAACAAGTTTATCGCCTTATCCAACCAAACAGAGCAAATATCAGAAGTCACACTGTTGGATTGTTATATGGGGGGTTAAAACCTGAGTTGAAGAAAGATGTGCTTGTGCAAAGACCCACCACAATGCATAAGGCCATGGCTCTGGCTAGACTATTCAATGATGCAATAGCCTTCGGGTTTACGCAATCCAAAACAAAGACTACCTCAAGCGGGGGAGCAATTTATCCAAGAATTTTAGCCCATCATTGATAGG